CAGGGAGCCCGATGTGGGACTCGATCCCGGGACTCCAGGATCATGACCTGAGCCGAAGGCAGTCGCTTAACCAACTGAGCCACCCAGGCACCCGGGAGGGGGAGAATCTTAAGCAGACTCCACGCCCAGCACAGAGCCCGATGTGGGACTCGATTTCACCACCCTGTGATCATGACCTGAACCAAAATTAAGAGTCGGATATTTAACGAGCTGAGCCACCCAGGTGCCCCGATACACTTTTTAAAAAAAAATTCTTGCTATTTTATTGTCTCTCTTAGCTTTTTTCCCCCCAGTTTTTCTATTTTTTTTTAAGTAATCTCTACACCAGTGTGGGGTTCTAACTCAGACAACCCTGAGATGAAGAGTCGCATGCTCTACTGACTGAGCCAGCCAGGCGCCCCACACTTTTGGTATTTTTATACTTATTTAAAATCTCAAACAACATAATCTGTTCATGGATATCAATGACATTATAATCTATGTTTCCTTACAATCAAAGTGGCTTGGGGTGAGAGAGGGAAGGAAACTAGTATTTATTGAAAGTTTACTTGGTGCCCAGTTTTTTCTCTCATCAGCCCTTTGGAGGGATAGCTGTAGCTTACTGTCCTAAGGGCACGGAAACGAGGGGCAATGTGGCCTCTGCTCTACTTCACACCAAGCTTCAGTGTTAGAAAAGCCCTTTTTTTTTTTAATTTAATTTTTATTTTTTTTAAGTAATCTGTGTACCCATTGTGGGGTTTAAACTCAGAACCCCAAGATCAAGAGCTGCATGCTCTACCAACTGAAGCCAGGCACCCCTAGAAAAGACTTTTAAAACTAGGTAACATAGGGGCGCCTGGGTGACTCAGTCGGTTAAGCATCTGACTTGATTTCGGCTCAGGTCATGATCTCAGGGTCATGAGATCAAGCCCCATGTTGGGTGTGGAGTCAGCTTAAGACGCTCTCTTACCCTCTACCCCTCCCCCGCTCACTCTCTCTAAAAGTAAATAAGTAAAAATAAAAAACGGTCATATAATTTTCTTACCTGAAACCAAGGAAAGTATGATCCAGGCAAATTGCTGACTTCATAGAAATGGTACCTTTCTAACCATTTTTCTGCACCATGGAAGCACAAAGGGAAATATATGTACATATACATAATTGTATGTGTATTGCATCATGAGTGTCTTTGAATTGGAAACTCTTAGATATTGAAGTTTATTTGTATTTAAATGAAAATAAAAAGAATCCTACAGACAAGTGGTGGCTTAATCTGTCTTATTTTTGACTTACCCCTTTTACACTCATATGTAGTCTCACATATCCTTTTAAATAATTATTCTGTCATTTTTATGTGTGCATGACATATGAGTGATTTTTATTTTATATTTATTTTAGACTCATTAAATAATATCATAAGATGTATCTCATAACATGCATGTAAGATTTATCTTTATAGAATTTGGTGTTTTCTTTTTGTCACTTTTTAAAAGATTTTCTTTATTTAAAAAAAAGATTTTATATATTTTAGAGAGAGAGCACACAGAGGGACTAGGCAGAGGGAGATGGAGAGAGAGAATCTCAAGCAGACTCCGTAGCCTGATGCAGGGCTCAGTCCCATGACCCTGAATCATGACCTGAGCCAAAATCAAGAGTCGGACACTCAACTGACTCTGCCACCCAGGCGCCCCTGTCACTTTTTAATTGCATTTGAGTTAATTATGTAAGGGGAAAGATGTTGCTTGACAAATATTAAAATGCCATGTCATGGTTAACGTGGGTAAAGATGTACATTTAAATATGAGTGAAATTTTATATTCAGAATCAAAAATAGGAGCCTAATATTTAGGATTCTTAAAATTTGTGTTTAAAAAAATCAACTTATTTGACTTATTGTTTCTAAATTATGAGGAAAGGTTTTGGGCTGCTGTTGGCAAGGAGTCCACTAGAAATAACACATGATGGGTGCACAGTATTATTCTCAATAAACTAAGACACAGTTTGATTATAATGGTCAGTATATTTTCTCTTTCTGACATTGGCTTGTGAAGTGTTAGTTGACACCTTAATGTACTGTTTGAACATTTTGACCTGACGAAGGTAACTTACAAATCAGGGGGAAGAGTATTCCAAGGCAAATGTAGAGAATTATAATTTTTATGTACCTCGTTAACTTAATGTTTCAGTGCCAGTGTTTCCTTTCTTAAACTTCAGATCCATTGTGGGAATACTTTAAATGTTATATGGCAGTAATTCAAACTGCAGAACAAATCTGGCAATGGCTTGCACTGTTTAGCTAAGTGATATATCAGCCAGGTTATTAGGTCCTAAGCATTCTGTGATCTTGGCTGCATATGATCACTGGATCTAGATTTAAATAGTCTTTTTTTTTTTTTTTTTAAGATTTTATTTATTTGACAGAGACACAGCGAGAGAGCAAGCACAAGCAGGGGGAGTGGGTGAGGGAGACGCAGGCTTCCCTCCGAGCAGGGAGCGCGATGCAGGGCTCGATCCCAGGACCCCGGGATCATGACCTGAGCTGAAGGCAGACGCTTAATGACTGAGCCACCCAGGCGTCCCTGGACTTAAATAGTCTTGAAAGGGATTGTGTTTTTAAAGGGAGAAATATTAAAATGATTGTTTTGTTCATTTGTTAAAATAAGGAAATGGAACAGTTATCTATTTCTGACAGATTCCTGCCTTAATCAGTGGGGCCTCTCTGAGCACCTTAAACTCTGAGGTAGTTTCTGAACCATCGATTTGGTGACCTAGACTTAGACCTTAAACGCTCATCTAACAATAATAATACCTTTCTGATAACTTATTTCCAGAAATGTACACAATAGAGGGTATTTTTAATTAACGAAACTCCCTCAGTAATAGCACAGTTTATTATATAGGATACTTCCATCTATTAGCTTCTTCTAACAGGAGCCACAAGTACTCGATATATATATAGAAATAAATGGTTTAATGAATTCTGAATCTTGAAAAATACGTGCATGTATTAGACTTTTATGTTTGGTGAACTGGGGAAAGAAAAGTAACATTGTAAACTAAAGATGACTTTGGAATATTTTAAAAATATTTAACGGTATGTGTATTGATGTTACAAATTATATAGCATTCTTTGTTTTTCCATATTTTTCCTCTATCTTTAGCTACACAATCTCATCAGTGGTATTCTTGGGGCCCACCTAATATGCAGTGTAGATTGTGTGCAACCTGTTGGCTCTATTGGAAAAAATATGGAGGCCTGAAAATGCCCACCCAATCGGAGGAAGAGAAGTTATCTCCGAGCCCAACTACAGAGGTATATGAGCAATAATCTTTTATGTTGATGAATGTCATTTCAATGGCTAGATACTCCTTGGAAACAGAAGTATAGTACAGGATAACTTAAAAGCAAGCAAAACTGTTGTTGTTGTTTTTTTTAAGATTTTATTTATTTATTTGACAGAGAGAGAGACAGCAAGAGAGGGAACACAAGCAGGGGGATGGGAGAGGGAGAAGCAGGCTTCCCGCTGAGCAGGGAGCCTGATGCAGGGCTCGATCCCAGGACCCTGGGACCATGACCTGAGCCGAAGGCAGACGCTTAACGACTGAGCCACCCAGGTGCCCCGCAAAACTGTTTTTTTATAACTAAACGTAACACCATAATATTTAAGGTGGGCGTGGAGAGAGGGTAGGGACAAATCAAAGTTTTTCAGGTATTCAAAATATTGTTCTTGTGTGATTACTCAGACAAAAGAACAATGTGTGTGGGAAGTGTTAGCATAAGTAGAGAGCTTACAAATTAAATGTTTTAATTGCTCTTTGGAAAACAGTTTGCAACCTTTAAATACTGTCAAAAATATGTCTTACTACATAAAGTAATAAATACGAATTGGACATTTTTCTGCCCCTGGGCTGTCATAGAAGGGACAAAGAAGGTGGTATGGACTCAATCTTGAGGTACAACAATTGAAATACAATTTTGGTAAAATTCTCATAGATTGCAGATATAAGCACCTATGTCGACCAGAGGGAGACTTTTTAAGGCCTAACAGGATCTCAGGACTCCTTCACTATTAAAAAAAATAAAATAATTTAATTAACCCCCTTGGCAGTTTTTTACTGTTGTGAACTTGATTTTGGATTCTTAAGGTCAATGTCAATTTATTTATTTATTTATAAAAGATTTTATTTATTTATTTGACAGAGAGAGAGAGAGAGAGCACAAGCAGGGGGAGTGGCAGGCAGAGGCAGAGGGAGAAGCAGGCTCCTCACAGAGAAGGGGGAGCCCGATGTGGGACTCAATCCCAGGACTCCGGGATCATGACCTGAGCCGAAGGCAGTCGCTTAACCAACTGAGCCACCCAGCCCGAGGTCAATGTCAATTTAAAAACCAAAATAGAGGAAGGAGTGCACTTGTGATGAGTACAGGAGGATGTATGGAAATATTGAATTACTATATTGTACACCTAAAATGAATATAACATTGTGTGTTAATGAATTGGAAATAAAAGAAACGCTTAAAAAACAAAAACAGGATCACACACCCTCCCACCCCTACCCAGTTTCCTTCTATACGCCCCTGCCCTCTTCCCAAAAATGCATACTTCTAAATTTCCTCCTTTAGGGGTAGGGTATTAAGTTATAGATGCTTCAGTGAAAAACTTAAAAATTGCCTTTTCTCTGAGCCTGATGCCAATAGCATTCTATCCTTTATGTGTCTGTCGGTGTCTGATTTTGCAGGACCCCCGTGTTAGGAGTCACATGTCTCGCCAGGCCATGCAGGGGATGCCAGTCCGAAACACGGGGAGCCCAAAGTCTGCAGTGAAGACCCGCCAAGCTTTCTTCCTTCACACTACATATTTCACAAAATTTGCTCGTCAGGTCTGCAAAAATACCCTCCGGCTGCGGCAGGCAGCAAGACGGCCGTTTGTTCCTATTAATTATGCTGCCATTAGGGCAGAATGTAAGATGCTTTTAAATTCTTAACCTTATGTGTTGTGCTTCTGACCATTTTCTCTCCTTCCCTGTCTCTCTTTTTTGTTTGTTTTTTTGTTTTTGTTGGCAATAAACATAAGTTCTTGTGTACAGCCTTTTATTTGGTTTATTTTTTTAACATTGTTTTTGTCTGCTGCCATTTGTATCATGCCAACCTAAAAAGGAAACACTGGAAGTCCCTCCGCAGAGAGGATAGTGCTCAGCAGAGATTCGGTGGGAGGCACCCTTGTCCAGGGAGGTCTTGTGTTGGGATTGCCCGAGAACTCTTACGGGAAGGCACTTTTCACCTGCAAGGTCGTGCCGTGATGTAACCCCTAAGGACGGTGTCCCAGTGAGGCCCCTTAGACGAGACATGCAGCCTGCTCTTACATGGCTTCATTAGGTTCGAATAAAATTTGCCCATTTACATTAATTAGAAATTGCATGTCTTTGTAAACCTCTCATTTTCCTTTTACAGTCGTACAGTATTAATGGAAATTCACAGTGCTTCATAACAAACACTATTTTGGAAGTTATTGGAAGATGGAGCAAATTATAAATGGATTTTAGTGTCTTTGGGTGAATTTTCTGAAAATACATATTTAGTTTTTACAGGCTAGTGACCAAATTTATGGGTTGAGCATTCTTTATATTTGTCCAATTTGGTTTCCATTTCATAGTCATACATATATTACTGCCTACCATGTACATGACTATTACTCTCATTTTCAACATGCTCAGTCTTGCTTATGTTTCATTTTTTTTGTTGTTGTTAGAACAAAGGTCATATGTATCAGTGAATTGTGGGTTGTTCTGTTATTACCATGTACCCCTCAAATGTGTCCATACTTTGTGTGCTAGCTCTGATTCTAGCCTTGCTATGTTTAGTCACAGGCCTGGCTCCACATTAGAGCCATGCAGCTTTCTCCCTTAAAGGATGAGCAAATTTGCTGTCTGGCTTAACAGAAAGGAAATTGTGTAGACATTTAGTAGATGCTTTTTCTGTGTGAGAAAAGAAATTTCTTGTTATGAGATGTTCCATTTTGATTTAAGGAGGATATCAATATAAGGAGGGATAATTGAAAATCATTTTTTGTTCCTAAAGGTAATTTTCAGCAGAATGGTTGAAAGGCTTTACAACTTACAGGTAAAAGCTTTATAAGGAGAAGAAAAGTGCTTTTTTGTAAAGAGAGTGGAAAATGGCAGTACTCTCTGAGTCCCATGGAGGGGAATTTAGCTCCCTTAGACTCATGTGTATTTGGAACTTTGGCTGATACTGATATTTCATGCTAGCATTTCTGAGTTCATGGATTTATGCTCTTATCCTTTTCTTTTTTTTTTTTTTTTAAAGGTTTTATTTATTTATTTGACAGAGAGACACAGCGAGAGACGAAACACAAGCAGGGGGAATGGGAGAGGGAGAAGCAGGCTTCCCGCGGAGCAGGGAGCCCAGTGTGGGGCTCGATCCCAGGACTCTGGGTCATGACCTGAGCCGAAGACAGACGCTCAACGACTGAGCCACCCAGGCACCCCTCTTATCCTTTTCTTAACCATTTTAAGGAACTGGAAAATACTTGCATTCATCCAAACTGCTTAGCTGATTTAAAACACATTTATAGTTTCTTAACTAAACAGGAGAATAAAACATATGAGAAAAAGAATTGAATGAAATTCTTCCATTAAAACTGGCCAGGATCCAGTATCATCTTTGTTCCTATGAATGGAAAAGAAATCACCAACTAAATTGGCAGCTGAGGAAGCTTCTGTTTCCCATGGCTCTTCTGTTAGTTTCTCAGTTAATACGCAAATTGCCTTTATTTTTATTATTCTTCAATGAAGTGTTTTTTTCCTCTTACCTCATTTTATATATTATTCCTCAATGAAAGGCCATGCTACTAAATAAAGGGGGGGTCAGTTAAATTACATGTGTTTTATTTCTATAAACATATAGCTATAATAATAATAGTAATAAAAGAACAGGGTCATTTGGTGTGATGAGATTCAAGGAGCATATTTTGCATTTCACTTCTTTGGTCAAGTTACATGTAGAATAGATTCTCAAAATAATTTTACCTTGAAATTTAAAATTACAAAGTTTCAGCAGCCATCTACTGTTACTTTTTTTCAGACAAGCAACTAATGAACTCTTCTAGCATCTAATTGATTCTTACATCATCTTCTCCTGTCTTATATGTACCTTGTTACCACCTCTTCAGCAGATCCCTTGATCTTGGATTGTTATGGAGAAGATAAACTGTTAATAACTTGATGTCTGTAGGCAACCGTGTCTGTGGTCCAGTGGGGATGCATAGGTGTATTGTTTTTTAGTAAGCTTTCCTTGGTTTCTCAAGGGCAGTGGTGACCCCCCATCCCTCCTCAAAAAAGTTAATCCCTGTGATGCAGTATGAATGTACGTTCAGATGAGATAAAAGTCTGTAATTCCAAAGATACTGATGGATCAAGAGCTCTAACTGATGCATTTTAGAATAATTCATAATATTCAGGAAGGTAAGTAGTTTTCCCTGTGAACTTGAGAGTTCTAAGCACTATAGAAGCTGACCCTTTCCATGGCTTCTGGCCTTGGCAGCACCATCAAAATCATGTCCTAGCCAGAGTTCACAGGGTGACAGACTGCGTGAGAGTGAAGGGAAAAGCTAAGGAGACAAAAATCTCAGATTGTGCAGAGCATAATGGTAACTATGAGTGCTTGACTTACAAGTTGATCCTTTTAGAGGAAATTTTTTTTTGGTTTATTACAACAGTACTCTGGCCTTTTTGTTTTATTTTCGTTAAGAAAATGGTATTAAAACAGACTGAAAAGGGGAAATCTTTATATATCCATAAAGTATCACAGAGAAAACATAAGAACAAATAATGTCTCCGGGAAGGGAAGCTGGGAGGCTGAGACAAAGGGGTGGGAAGGAGACTCCCCTCTGTTTATCCTTTTAAACTTTTTCAATTTTGAGCCATGGGAATACGTTTCTTATTTTTAAAAAATAATTTTAAAAACTTAGGTATATAGTATGACCAACGTGTTGAAAAATATATACATATAAGAAATACATATATATACATATATATGTGATTTTTTAAAACCAAATTTCCCAAATTTCTGTTTGAATACTATGCCTTTATATGTAAATATGTAAGTCCATTACAAAAATGACTAACATCAGTACAATGCCTGAGCCTGTTCTACCAGAGAGAGAGTGCTTATTAAACATGGATTGGTAAATCAAAAACCAGAACATCGCAGAAAGAAAGGTATTGTGTCCTTGACACAATTTGCAGACTGATAGCATGGGTTGTCAAGGTTCAGACAGCCTGTCTCTTCTCCCCCTGCCTTCAGTAAAAAAAAGCCACGATGTGATAATGGTGTTCTTCCTTTGTTCTCGCCATCAGAAATGACCACTGAGCTTCCCGATGACTTTATCAAACATCTGTAAAATCACCCAACACCTAATGAGCACAGGGTTACTATTTGAGATTCAGGATCCTCAGAAACTGAGGTTAAGTAGAAGTGGGTATGTTCACAGCACTCCGTAGATGAAGCTAAAGTGTCTGGAGAAGTGGGTCCAAGTGAATGACCTGCCACCTTTGTAGCTTGCATGGGTGACTCCGTGGTTTCTAAGTTGATCACACCAGACTTGAATGACCACCATTCCCTAGTACGCAGTTCCTTGAGAGGCACCTGGAGCCACATTTTTCTGTTTGAAGATGCTGATTCAGCTTTGGAAGTATCCCAAGGACCTGCATTCAGAAGCTTTAAAATACGAGTTTTTCTAGAGATTTCTCAGCAAAAGTTAACTATTAATAATTGTGTAAAGTGTGAAATTTTAAGCTCTAATATTAGGTGAGAACAGTTTTGGTTTGGGTATTTTGGGTAGTTTGTTTTGAATAAAAATTCATTTTTGAATGGATACTTCAAATTTTTCTAAAGATACAAAAGTGGCTAGAAATCCTATTGCCATTCCCATTTATACCATCTTCAGAGGTAACCATTGTCATCCTGTCTAAAGTATCCAGAGATACTCTGTGTATCTATACTAGTCTAAGTAGGTTTGTTCTTTTTTTGTTTCAATACAGATGTTAATGTCCACATTGTTCTGCACCTTGCTTTCTTTACTTCAGATCTTGGAAGCCATTCCATACCAGTACATTGAGAGCTACCTCCTTTTCTTACCAGCTGCATAATAATATTTTGTACTTTAATTCCTTATTAAACAGATTTTTAGGTTATTTCCAGTCTTCTCTATCATAAGTAATGTTGCAACAAATATCCTTACACAGATAGCATTTCATACCGATGTGTGAAATGTGCGGGTAGGTCACAGGACAGACCCCTAAAAGTAAAATATCTGGATCAAGGAACATGCATTTGGAATTTTAATAGTCACTACCCAGTTCTCCTTAGAAAAACCACGATTTGCGTTCCCACCCACAATGTCTAGAGAATGCCTATTTCTCTAGAACCTTGCCAGCAGTGTTATCCATCTTTGAAACCCTTGGCTAGTTGACAGATGACATGTAAGTTATATTAGTTTGCATTTCTCATTTTGAATGAGATAGAAATCTTTTCATATATTTGAAAACCATTTGTTTTTCCCTTTCTGTCAGCCGTTTTTGCCCCTGGCCTGTTTTCTATTAGAAGTCTTACTGACTTGTGAGGACTTTTTTATATTTTAAGGATGTTCGCTCTTGATTTGTGATACATGGTGCAAATATATCCCCCATTTTGCCTTTGACTTTGTTTATGATGTATTTGTCAAGCAGATTTTTTAAAAACATAGTTGAATTTATCATTTTTTAAAAAGATTTATTTATTTTAGGGAAGGGGAGAGAGAGAGAATCTCAGACTCTCCACTGAGCGTGGAGCCCAACACAGGGCTGGATCCCATGACCCTGAGGTCATGACCTGAGCAGAAACCAAGAGTCGGATGCTTAACTGACTAAGCCACCTAGGCGCCCCTGTGATTTTTTTTTTTTTTTTTTATAATGGCACCTGGGTTTTGTGTCATCTTTAGAAATGCCTTTGCAATTCCTATAAGAAAATTCTACGGATGGTTCTATTTTGACAGCAATCTTGGAAGCCCATGTGAATGTTTTTGTGAATTTTAATTCAGTGTGTACTTTTTGCAGTTTTTCTATTTTATTCCCACACACACATATTTCCAAAACATTGTAGAAAAATGGCTGTGAGTTGCAATGAAAGCAACAGTGTTTTTCCAGGTTTACCTCAAGGAGATGTACTCTAGGAAGCTAAAGAAATGTGCCTGTGTGCAGTCAAGTGACTTGGGGTGAGATGCTCATGTTCTCCCTCTTTCTGGGCAGATTTTGATTCCTTCTGGGTTCTTTGGGCATCTCTCAGGTTGCTTGCCTTATCTGTGCACTTTTAATGCATACTAATGAATTATCTTTTAATAGAGTTACGTGAATAATTTGATAAGTGGCACCACTGGTCTGCTCTTGAGTGCAGACCAAGATTCTGTTTAACCAACTCAAGTGTGGACCTGATAATCCCATGTGTATGATCATTCCCCCAGGGCAGAAGGTATTTTTCCCATGCGTATTCAGTGTATATCATTGAATGGATGCAATTTTTATATTAAACAGTGACTAGGTAGCCTTAGCACTTATTTCCTCATAGCAGAGACTGATCATTCTTGCCACGAACTACTTTAAAATGTAATGGGGATTAGTGATGCTTCTAAAGAGCTTTGATCTCCCACTCAGGTGCTCTGTAAATTGTCACTTGGAACATCACATAAGTAATGCTACTGATTTGATGAGAAATTAAAAGCAGATTAGTGTGGTTTAAAATGAAATATCTTTAGGTATTGTGTTGGTGACCTCTTTGATAGTCTTCCTTTTGTTGATTCTTGTCAAGGTGATAGTCCTAGGAGAGTCTATCAGTTGTAACCACATTGACAGTTTTCCTTTGGGCCTTATTAACTGGAATAAAGTGCAAAGTTAATCTTATTACTAGTAATACAATGGTTGCCTTTGTCCAGAACATGGAGGAAATACAAGCTGATTCATTCAAGCTTTCTTTCATTAATAGAAAGGACAAAATTTTCTCTTGTCCTCATCCCAAGTAGAACTTGAATTTTAGATGAATTAGTAATAGGAAGGAATTATTTAGTATCCACTCACAGCGTTTTGACAGGGATTTGATTTGTGTTGCTTTTTAATGTTTATTTAGATTACTCCCCCAAAATATGCTTGGTATATTTCTTCCTTTATTCTTCATTGTTATTCAACAACAGGTGAAAAACTTCATATCTCAGTAATTTTTTTTTTCCCCAAAGGAAATCAGCTGAGTAAGGAAGAAAAGAAATCAGATCATTTATAGTTGTCCATGGTTGTATAATAATTAGCCAGCGCTTAGGATACATATTCTGATTCCTATTATCTGAGGCTCTCTGCAGTATGTGCTTTGTTTATTTTAGACGTTTTCTTTTTAAATGCTATTTTCCCACCTCTTTCTGTTTAATAGTTAAAATAGTTTCCTTGGTGAAAGAGAAAGCTAGAGCTTATGAAAAAGTTAATTTTTAATTTTAAATGATTTGTGGTTCCAGAGTGAATTGTATATTTTAACACTAATAGTGCAGAGAGAATTCTTGGGGTTGTCAAAGGAAATTTCCTGTATGTATGCCTAGAAATGTGGTCTCAGCCTCAGAAAACCAGTAGGGCATTTTTGTCAAGTATTGGAAGGTGGGGAAAAGGCATACACGTAGCAAAATATCTGCTAAAAGTACTCAAGTTTTATGGCAATATCTGCAGATTTAAAAAACATTTCAATACACTTTTTTTTTTCTCCCTTCAAACTCTATTTTTGTAACTTAGCTCCTTGGTCTGAGAGCAGTCCTGTTCCACATCTACTCTTCCATCCTAATGACAACTAATTAAAACACAGAGAGTGTGTGTGTTATATGCCTTATTTTTCTCTGTCAGAAGTGTCTTATGGTAGGGTATGAGGAGTGTGAGGGGAACTTTATGAACACTAACAGCCATTCCCACAGTATTTTACTGTTCTGACTAATGGATGAGACACTCTACATACAGGCAACCTTTTAAAGCTCAGCACCACTGACATCATAGTAGGATATGAAGGATAGAAAATGAGCAATAAAACCGATGACCCATGTTTACCCTTGTGAGGCTCTCATCTAATGGAACTGAGTTTAATCAAGATAGATGAAAACTTCTCGGTGGAGACTCACTCCCACTAGGTCAGGGATGGCCAAATGCATTGCCTTTGTCCGCTTTGTCATTTTTGTCTTCTCCGCCACATGAATCTTACATTAGGACTGATTCACCTCATTCTGTGTGGAAGTTTTTCTACTATGAGAAAGCAATGCCATGGCTAGGAAGGAAGCATATTTCCACTGCTTTTCAGATGGGCACACACAGAAAGAAAGCACGTGTGTGCAAGATATGTGTTAGCTGCTCTCATGAGTCTTTAAAGTGAGTGTTCTCCAGGTACCTCCTTCATTCAGTAATTTGGAACCAGAACTAGAAACGGTTTTCTCAAACCCCACAGGAAATTGTGCAGGAGTCTGGTGGATATTTTGCATTGTCTTCCACTGGCACCTTTTGTCTCTGCAGTGTGTGTAGAATAGGTAGAGAAATCAGCCTCATTGGTTGTCTCCATGTTTCCTTCTCTCCTCAGATGCAGACAGACATGCCGAGCTATCTGGAAGTCCACTGAAAAGCAAAAGCACTAGGAAACCTTTGGCATGTATCATTGGGTATTTAGGTGGGTATTTTCTAATAGGAAAATTTCAAAGAACAATCTTTGTATCTTACAAGTATTTGGCTACTCTAAATTGTCATACTTAAACTAAATCTAAGCCTTTCAAGTAGCTGAAATTGGATACTTTCACATGTATAGTCCATTTATTTTGTTTTAGAAGCTTTATACACACAAGATATACACAAGGTTATGGGTATGTTTGCTTTTTCAAAAAATCAATAAAAATGTAATGTATATTTATGGATATAAATACAGATTGAGCAAAAAGAAGAAAGTAAGAATCACTAGATTATTAGAGGATGAATATTCTTAATGTTTTGATTTAGATTCTTCCACTTGGCTTATTTTTTTTTAATGAGATAAGACTCGTTCTAACCTATCTTTAAAAGAATATTTATAGTTTTGATGTACCAATTAAGGTTACTTTGAAAGGGGAGCATTTGTATTGCTTTCTGGTTTTTACCATCTTATTTAACTTGGACTTCGCCAAAGATAATGGCTCCATATACGTGTTGAAATATCACAATTAAGAAGAGTATTTTAAAAAATCACTAGGCAATAACACTTCTTTTGGTTTTTGCAAAGTTTTAAGATAATTTACAAAATAATCATTCCTAAAATGGTTCCTACTATACCTGGAAGCTATACTGACATGTTTTTAATGCTTCTGATATTCTTGCTTTTTCATTTTCTCAGTAAAAGTGAATGATGTACTCAAAGTTGCATTGAACCTTATTGCTCTGTCAGAAAGATATACAATTATGAAGTGTTCAGACTCTAGACACACTTAAACATCAAAGTGTAGCTTTGAACTTGGTATATTATCTGGTCCTCATCAGAGCATCCAAGAGTCAGAAGCTCACAGCTCCCTCTTTGATTTTACTTGGTCACCTGATTTCTTGTTTTATTTCTCAGGGCCTAAAGAATTGCTTTGATAGCCCCCAGAATATTACCTCATTATCACAGGTAGGACCTGGGTAGGTCATGGTGATCAAGTCCTTGAAGTGTGCTATCTGTATGCCCTTGCAGGACCTAATCTTCCAAGCCCCTTCCCACCATGCAAGGACAAGTCTCTGATCATAAGAAATAGAATATAACATTGCATATTAGTCAGTCTTACCATGGGTAATTGTGTGTTCCTCCTGCGGATAAATTGGTGTCTGTGCCTCCCAGGTAAGCCCAAAGATGTGCTGTGCTTACTAGCTGAACCACATCCCTACCTAACATATTTCTGAGTGTTTACTACATACAAGACACTATGATGTGTACCACCAAGTGATTTGGAGGAATGCCAAGATGAATAAGACTTTGCCCTCAAAAGTTTTAGTCTAGTGGGGAAAGCACACAGGTAAGGACAATTAAGCAAAGGATTAAATCCTATAAAAGAATTACAGGTAATATTCACTGGACCCTTGGAGGAAAGAATAGTTATTTCTGATGAGATTTAGGGCAGCCTACATGGAGAAAGCAGTATTTGACCTCAACCTTGAGTGATAAGTAGTAAATAGAAAAATAGGAAAACAGTATTTTTCCCTTTATGAGGCCAAGAGAACTTGATGAACAAAGGCTTTCATGAGTCCAAAGGCAGGTGGTATGGTTTGGATGGAGCGTAGTGTGGAGGCTGTAATGAAAAATGGGGTTGGCGAAGTTTCAGTGCCATGTTGGAAAAAGAAAATCAGCACCATATACTGGTTAGCACTTGATCTGTTCCTAAATTTTGGCAAGTGTAGAATTTTGACCAGACTAAGATATAGTAATTCTAACAATCCTAACAGCCTTTCCTAAATTTTGGACAATGAAGCTGATATCCTGGCCCTTCCCTGAGAAGACAGAGTGGTTCATGCACAGATGGTGACTCAGAATCAGGGGGCAGGTTTAGCTTTGGACAAGACATTGCCCAATAATAGTAACAGACTGAAATCCTTAAATCCAGTTGCTACAGACTGCAATTTCTGTCCATCTGCTTTATCCAAAAAGTGCAAGTAATTCTAGGCTATGTGGCTGACAACAACATACTTCACATAAACACACATATCCCACGTGCACGTCACCGTTTTGTGATATATCCTCCATCAAAGCTTTTCTTCTACTACATCTTGAGTCTAGAATTTGGCATTTGGTGTCAGGTTTCATCTACATCAAAATGTTCTGTAGCTGGGAGAGATTAACCCTGGTCCTATACCCTCCTTGCAAAGCCAGAGGAAGAATCCTGTTTTCCAGAAATCTCTCACACCCGAGACATGCTGCATGCTACGTCTTCTCCAGATAACCTTTAAATTTCTTAAGACCTTGAAGAGTTAGTTGCCTTATTCCCTTAGTAAATCTGTGCTCAAGTGACCTTCTGAAGTGCAAGTGGCGTTTTGTTGTTGTTTTTGTTGCTTGTCCTCCCAACATGAAGCTCAGAGCTCCAGCTAGCAGAGGAGCAGCTGCTCACTTTTGATAAGTAAAGCCATGGTAACAGCACTTGAAGTTGATTCATTATGCAAGTCCTTGGGAAAACAGGCTGGCTCTTAAGGAACTGACTCTCAGCTCATTAAGAAGTAAGATGTGTGCCTATTAGGCAACGTAAGTGCACACAGAGATTTTTAATACCATGTTCTGAGTTGACAAACCTTTTCTCCCCCTGCCAGAGATCCATCCTTCGAAGAAACCTAATGTAATTCGATCTACACCAAGCCTGCAAACCCCCACTACCAAGCGGATGCTAACCACGCCGAATCACACGTCTCTGAGCATTTTGGGGAAAAGAAACTACAGTCATCACAATGGCCTGGATGGTATGTAAGCCCAGGAATTCTGGGGGCCTGATCCCACAGTCCAGGGCCTCTCTGCCCTTGTCCCCTCTGAGCATGTCCCCTGCCAAATCCAAGACGTGTAGCAAACAGGTTCTTCCACCCTCTAATTGAACTACATGTGTGGTAAGGGGATAAGAGGGAAGGTTGCTGTGTACCACAGTGAAGACATTTTGCCAAGTGATACTTCACCATCTCCTCAGAAGGGACCTTTTTGCCCACATTCCCTGTGAGGAGGCTTGTTTGGAGAGGAAGTCTGTATTTATCAGGTTGTCTCTGCTGGGTGATAATGTGCTTGCTGGATGCATGCTTACTACTCATTTATGTTTTCCTGAGCAGAAGGGATGATTTCACCTTATGTCTGAGGCAACTGTGCTCTCTGGGGGTTCTTTGGTGTTCTGTGGATCATTTTGGATTTGGCATTTGTCCCCGACTTCTTTCACCTTATACAATGTTTTTAATTGCTCAAGAGTGCTACAAGTCATGAAGGGAATTGCCTGGGTGATGTCTTAAATACAGAAATAATAATTTGTTTGAAATGGAAAAGCTGAGAAATATCACCTCTTATCCAAAGTACTTCCCTTGGGGTTTGGGCACATAATGACTCTTCAGGTGGAATTGAATTATCTTCCCATTTGGACTATAAACACAAGGATAATAAATCAGCCAGGCAGTATATATTGTCCATTTCAGTAGTCCTAGAATTTGAAGCTGTCTTGATGGTTTAAATGTTGGCATTTATTTACGAGTAAAACTCTCTCCAGGCTTTTCATGTCTTCGAGGCCTCTAAATTCCTTCAGTGACAGTAAGTTAGTTATAATGAGGCCCTAGAGCAGGGATGTGAAATAGACCTTCTAGTAATAGTTTCCCATGGTTGTTTTCCTTCAGTATGACTTTTCATGGTCATAGTGATGTCAAAATGAATAAAAAACTGAGGGTGAAAAGTTTAATTTGCATTTATAGGTTATCAGTGTGTTATAGATATGGCTTTCAAGAATTTAGCTACATAGTAGTCTTGCAGAAATACTTATTTGCTAACAAGGACATGGCCATCCTTGCCATAATCCGCCCAATATCCAGACAGCAGAAGACTAAGGACAGATTGTGTCAAAATGTGGAGATTGGATTTCTTCCCAGCTTTTCCTTGCCCACAGCCTGGGGCTTTTGGATTCAGACTTAAATGGAATCAGGAATCTTCCTTTTATGTCATCACCTCCCTGGCCTCTGGAGGTGTGTGCTGTCCTACCGCAGGAGGCAGAAATTAAGTTCTGGTTCATACATATACACGTACAATATACACTTTAGGGTAAGAAGACTCTTGTGGTGACTACGGTTGGAAGAGCAGCTCTCTACTATCTTTTTCCACCTGTGCCCTATGGTCACAGTCACTCAGGCCCCAGTCCTAGCCCCGCATGACAGTTCACATTTTATCACAGGTACCTGTCTCCTTAGAATTTCTTTTTTTTTTTAAAGATTTTTTATTTATTTATTTGAGAGAGAGAGAA